GGGGATTCCAAAGAGGGTGGATCTAGACTCTTCTCAGTGGTACCTGATGACAGAAGAAGGAGTAATGGTCTCAAATTGCAGTTGGGGAGGTTTAGGTTGGATATTAGGAAAAAACTTTTTCACTAGGAGGGTGGTGAAGCACTGGAATGGGTTACCTAGGGAGGTGGTGGAATCTCCTTCCTTAGAGGTTTTTAACGTCAGGCTTGACAAAGCCCTGGGTGGGATTATTTAATTGGGAATTGGTCCTGCTTTGAGCAGGGGGGTGGACTAGATGACCTCCTGAGGTCCCTTCGAACCCTGATATTCTATGATTCTATGATCCAGGGCATATAGTGTACTTGGACTTTCAGAAAGCAGTTGACAAGGCCCCACAACAAAGGCTGTTAAGAAAGATCAGCAATCATAGGGTAAGAAGGAAGGTTCTCTCCTGGCTCAGTAACTGGTTAAAAGATAGGAAACAAAGAGTAGGAATAAATGGTCAGTTTTCAGAATGAAGAGAAGTAGCTAATGATGTCCCACAGGGATCTGTACTGGGACCACTGCGGTTCCATGTATTCATAAATTATCTGGAAAAAGGGGTAAACAATGAGGTGGCAACATTTTCAGATGAGACAAAATTATTCAATATAATTAACTCCAAGGTAGACTGTGATGAGTTACAAAAGGATCTCAAAAAACTTGGTGACTGGGGAACACATTTTTGTTGTTGACAAATGCAAAGTGATGCATATTGGAAAAATATAATTCCAACTTTACATACAAAATGATGGTTCCAAATTAGCGGTTACCACTCAAGAAAGAGATCTTGAAGTCATTGTGGCGAGTTCACTGAAAACATCCACTCAATGTACAGAGTCAGCCAAAAGAAAAGCTAACTGAATATTGGGAACCAGAGGTGGTGAATATAAAATGCCAGGACAGGCTAAGCCTCCCCTGGTGCAGCTGCAGCCTCCGGATGCCAGTCGCGCAGTTTGCACAGGGAAACAGGTTTGCTTATAATCAGGGCCGGCTCCAGGCACCAGCCGAGCAAGCTGGTGCTTGGGGCGGCAGATTGTTGGAGGCGGCATTCCGCCCAATCCTAGCGCAGCACGGAGGCTTTTTTCTTAAATTTGTTTTGGGTTTTTTTGTTCTTGTTCCGCTTCGGCCGCCCTGTAGGGGGCGGCTGCGCGGAGAACCAGAGTGCCCTGCAGGGCAATCCTCTTCCTTCCCTCCCCACCGACCGGAGCGGAGCCCTCGCGGCAGGCAGCAGGAGGCGGTGCAGCGGGAGGGGCCACGTGGCAGTGCCCCTGCTGTAGCCCTGGCTGCCCCCTTCTCTCTCTCTCCCGCCCGCTCTCTCCCCCTCCCACCACCCCAGCCGGTCCCCCTGCACCCGCGGTCCGGCCGCGTCGCAGGTTGTTGTTTTTTTGCTTTGCAGTTCTGGCCGCCCCGTTTTTTTCCCCTTGAGGTGGCCAAAAAGCCAGAGCCGGCCCTGCTTATAATGATGTGCCAGGTAGGTTCCAGTGTGGCTGAGGAAGCTTACAATTGTTACAATACTTTTGCACATTTGCTTTCATGCACGGCCACCAACCCACGGAGGTCAGGCACTGCATGGTTTTATTTACCCCTTGATGTTCTCCTAACAGTGTGCTGTGTACCAGGGAGATCATTGTCTTGCATAACTGGGAGGGGACTGCTCACACTGGAAAATGTTCTCCACGGTACAGCAATATCCCCTCGTGTTTATACAACTTGGATTTGTACGTTTGAAACGGTGAATTTTGTGATAACGAACTTCAAGCTTTTTGTTCCTTTTCTGCTTTTGACAACGGTCTGGTTATTTTCACTATTTCCTGATCCTTTGCCTGCAAAGTTTTTAGATCAGGTACCCCTCTGCTGAATTGCTCTTGTGCTGCTCCTATTGGGGTCATGATTGAATTTGCCAGGGGATCTATTTGCCTGGGTTTCTTCCATAGAATCCTACTACAGGATTCTCTTTTTATTTTTATTTTTTTTTTGGTTAATAAATCAGCAGGATGATTTTCCTGAGCATAGGGCCCTATTTTACTATGATCTTGCACCTTCTGAATGATGAGTCGCTGCTCTGTAGTGGATACTTCACAGGCAGTTTGTCAATATTCTGCAAAAGTGATCCGTATTTAAGTGGAGCTCCATCTGAGGATGTAAATCCATAAGCATCCCATACTAGTAAAAATATTTTGTAAGTGAATTATATGCCCAAGCTGAATTTGAAAAAAAATCAAAGGGTAGCTCTTTGTAGTAATAGACAGTTTGGGGCATTGTTCCAATAAGAATGCCACTGTTGAGTACCCCCACATTAGCCACAGACACCAAGGGGCTGGACTCCTGGGGCTTCCCAGAAGCTGGCTGTCACAGGAGGCTGTGATAAGAAGACTTTTATAGACCAATGTCAGAGGTGTTGCTCTGTGAAACCCTGACATAGCCCTGAGCTTAGGGTCTCGGAGTATCTGAGCACCTTGAATGTATTTATCCTCTTGCTAGAGCTGTGAGGCCCCACCTCCTGCCTCATCTTTTCACACCAGGCCCTTCCCCCTACTCCGCCACTTCCACCAAGACTCCTACGCCTGGCTAGGCAGGAGCCAGGCCATGGTAAGAGGTGCTCTGGGAGCCCAGACTGCTATCGGGAGCCCGGACTCTCCACCTTCCCTAAGGGGTGCATACTGGGGGCTGCGGACACAGGCTGGGGACACATTTGGGGCCCTTCCAGCTAATGCTCAGGACAGATGGAGGGTCTGGGGCTCCTCACAGTGGCTCTGGATCCCTGAGCAGCCCTTACCATGGCCCGGCTCTAGCTTCTCTCCTGAAGAGAGTGTGGAGTCTCAGGCAAAGAGAAAGAGCGGGAGTGGGGTATTGAGGGAAGGGATGGGGCAGAGAGAGGGGCTTCAAATGAGAAGAAGAGGGGCATAGTTGGGGGTCACAGAGGGGATGGGGCTTCTGCATGTGTCCCGCTTTTTCCTTTTGAAAAGGTGGTCACCTTACAGTAAACGGGTTGGGCTGGGATAGCAGCTAGCTGTGCTTCTGTGTGGGAGATGAGTCCCATTTCCACCCCTTTGCATTGCTAGGGCAGCAGAAACAGAAGGGACAGGGAAGGATTCTGGGTCTGAGTCTCTTGCTAGGACTCTTGTGTGTCAGACCCTCACTCACACATAACTTTTTGAATGTATTTATCCTCTCACCACCTCTGTGAGGCAGGACAGGGCCATTATCCACCTCTACAGAGGCCATACTGGGTCAGACCAAAGGTCCATCTAGCTCATTATCCTGTCTTCAGACAGTGGCCAGTGCCAGGTGCCCCAGAGGGAATGAACAGAACATGTAATAATCAAGTGATCCATCCCCTGTCACCAGCTTCTGGCAAACAGAACCTAGGGACACCATCCCTGCCCATCCTGGCTAATAGCCATTGAGGGACCTATCCTCCATGAATGTATCTAGTTCTTTTTGGACCCTGTTATACACTTGGTCTTCGCAACGTCTTGTGGGTTCCAGGAATAGTGGCTCCAAGAAACAGTCATTTAAGGTGTCAAGAAACTTTATCTCTGCATCCCGTCCTGAGGTGACATGTACCCAGTCACTATGGGGACAGTTGAAATCCCCCATTATTATTATTGATTTTTTTTATTTTAATAGCCTCTCTAATCTCCCTAAATATTTCACAATCACTATCACCATCCTGGGTAGGTGGTCGGCAATATATCCCTACCGCTATATTCTTATTATTAGAGCATGGAATTTCCACCCACAGAGATTCATTTTGGTTCCTTTACGACTTTTACTTCATTTGACACTATGTCACCAGCATGACCTATTCTGCTCTTTCAATATATTTTGTACCCTGGTATCATGGTGTCCCATTGATTATCCTCATTCCACCAAGTGTCTGTAATGGCTATTATATCAATATCCTCAATTAATACGAGGCACTCTAGTACACACATCTTATTATTTAGCTTTCTGAATTACATGATGTATTTGATTGTTTCTTAAAAGAGCCTAGCTGTATTTTATCATCTTCCATCCTCTTCTCCTTACTGAGACATAGAGAATCTCCATTAGTCTATCCTCCCTAATGGATGTCGCTGTCCAAACTACCTGCTCCTGTACTCCTGTCACATTTCCCCTAGCCCTTAGTTTAAAAACTCCTCTAAAACCTTCTTAATGTTAAGCGCCAGCAATCTGGTTCCATTTTGGCTTAGGTGGAGCCCATCCTTTCTGTATAGGATCCCTAATTCACAAAGGTTTCCCCATTTCCTAATAACACACGCAGCACTCCTCTGCCTCGGTGACATTACAGTCAGATACGGGTGGACTCATCAGGTACGCAGTGCGCAGTCATCAATGAGGGAGGAGCTGCCTAAGTGACAGCACCTGGGACTCCTGCTTTGATCATGTCTCTGACACGACTCAGACACATGCACCTGGCTGAAGGCAGAGGGAAAGGGGGGTGACTGTCTCACTGAAATAGATGCTGAGCACAGCTGTTGCAGCGCTCACGGATCACGCAGTACCCAGAGCGCTCAGGAAGGGCGAGGACCGGAACTGAAGAACAGCTCTCAGCTTTTCCCCTGGCTCATGGAGGTTTAACCAGAGACAGAACAGGGACAGGCCAGGTGTAATAGGAAACAACGTCCACCTCCTTTCTCCTTATTGACTCCTTCAAGAGGAATTCTGAGGTCGGAGCAGGCAAGGATACAGCTCTTTATAAGCAAACATCACATTGGTCCCCTGGCTCTCCAGGAACACAAACACATTGTAAAAGCTGCTACCTGCCTTGGTCTCCTTCCCCGAGTGTTCTAGCCTCCCTCACCAGCCCCTCTCCCATTCTTCCAGGCCTTATACCCGGTCTGAACCTCTCTTTACAGAGTGGAGTTCAGTAGATCATGTCATCTCGGATGTAAGGTCCTGAATAGAATGGATGGTTGTGGCCCGTGTTTTTCATCTCCCATGTCACTGGGGCTGCAGCCAAGTGATGAACTGACCCTTCACTTGAAGAACACCCTGATTATCCTCGCTCGAAGGTGTTTGCTTTTTACACTGTACACAATTGGGTTCACAAGTGGCGGGACAAACAGAGAGATGTAGCCCAGGAGAAGGTTGAGCAACGGAGGAGAGTCCTTCACAAATCTGTGTATCACACCCAAGCCAATCCGTGGCGTGTAGAAGAACAGGACAGCACAGAGGTGGGAGACACAGGTGTTCAGGGCCCTCAGGCACTCCCCGTGGGATGCAACTTTCAGCACTGTTTTGAGGATCATCACATAGGAGAGGAAGATGAACAGTGAATCCACCCCCACCACAGTGACTGTAAGAAAGAAGCCATAGATGTAGTTGACTGTGATGTCTGAACAAGCCGTCTTAATAACGTCCTGGTGCAGGCAGTAGCAATGGGAGAGGACATTGGCTCGACAATATTGGTACCGTTTCAGAAGAAAGGGGAGTGGGAATATTAAAGACACCCCTCTTAGCAAAAACACCAGTCCCATCTTTCCAATTCTCGGCAGGGTTAAGATAGAAGCATATCTCAGTGGGTTACAGATAGCAACGAATCGATCAAAGGCCATCAACAGGAGTACCGATGATTCAATGAATGAAAGTGAGTGAATGAAGAAGAGCTGGGCAAAACAAGCATCCAGACTGATCTCTCTAGAGTTAAACAAGAATATACCCAGTGTTGTAGGCATGGTGGTTATTGATAAGGCAAGGTCTGTGACGGCCAACATGGAAAGGAAAATGTACATGGGCTCATGGAGGCTCAAGTCTGTTTTTATAATGAACAGAATGACTGAATTTCCTACTATTGAAATAATATACACTAAGCAGAAGGGGATAGAGATCCAGAGATGGACGTCTTCCTGCCCAGGTATCCCGGTGAGAAGGAACACTGCAGAGCTGAATTCGGTGTCATTGACAGCTGACATAATGTACTGAACAGGTCTAAGGAGTTTTGAAATATCCTTCCTGAAAGAAAGAAAAACAAATGAGACTAGATGATATTTAACGAGACATCTTTCTGATCTCAGTGCAAGTCTAGAGATTCCCGGGAGCTCAAGGAAGATAAGCTAAAGCATGGTCTTGGATTTATACCATCGATAGGAACATAGGCAGTGCCAGACTAGGTCAGAACTGTAGTCCATCTTGCCTTGTATCTAATACCTAGTACCAGATGGTTCAGAAGAAGGTGAAAGAAGCTCTGAAATAGGCAACTTTGAGATAACCTGCTCCCAAGGAAAGTTGCTCCCCAAGACCCACTCATTAGACATATATTGTAGCATAAATTAGGAAGGTTTAGATCCCGTCTAAGAGCTTTTTTGTTTAGTCCTTACTACTCTAACTGGATTTTCCTCTTACCCATATAAATATCCAGTCCCTGTTTGAAACCTGTTAAGCTCTTGGGCCCATTGATATTGCTAGGCAAAAGTTAAAATGTAGCTCACAGCTAAAATAGAAAACTCAGAACAAGCAGAAATGCTTTAGAAGCATTTAGTAGCAAGGACACTGACAATTGTAAACAATTGATAAGCTTATATGGTCAATGCCCGCTTAATAACTCAGCTCTTGGAACAGAACAAACCCTCCCTTCACAGCCCATCGGATATCTGTAAGCACTCATCCCTACACCCCCAGCCCGCCTCCTTCTTCCACAAGGTAGTCATAAACTTTTGATGCAATTAGGATAACCTCTTTATGGACATACTGTTCCTATTTTTATCTCTCTTCAGGGTTCTCTCTTGATTAGTAACAATGTCTGTCTCGGTATGTACAAATAAATGCAAATGAATTAATAAGAAAATGTATATAACTGGCCCCTATGACACCATATTTTCGAAGCTGCTTTTGAGTCTTCCCAGTACCATGAATAAACTCCTTTCAGTATTGTCTGTGCTTGCCTGATTCTTGGGGGGGTGGGGGGGGAATATTTTTGCCTAACAATATCTTGTGGTTGGGAGTTCCACAACCTACTTGAGCACTGTGTGATTTTACAGGTGTGACCTTTCCACTGACACCCTTTCTGGCCCTCCATTTTGGAGAGTGGCCCATTGTACCATGACATGTGTGTAAACACATGGCAAGTGCACAGTGAAAACAGTCATTGTATTTATCTGTCCTGCATTGAAGCTATTTGTTAATGTGTCTCCTTCATGGGCGGAGAGTAAGAAGGCAAGGGAAGGCAGGGTGCTCTTGGTCTGGTGCTGGGGCTGGCGGCTGGGTCCATGTGGCTGCCCAGCCCCCGCGCACCAGGGCTGGAAAGGCTGGGGCTGTGCCGCACACGTGGGGGGGGGGGGGGGGCTGGGGAGGTTGGGGTTCTTCGGGGCTGGGGGCACTAGTCTGGGGCATGGCCTGTTGCTGCGGTGGAGGGCTGGCTTGGCTCCATGGAAGGGGTAGGGCCTCGGGTGGAAAGGGTGGAGCTGGGGGTTTGCCTGCCACAGATGTGGGTTCACCACCACCCATGGTTTCCTTATCTAATTTTTATATACACATATATATTATTTTCTCCACGCCTCAGGTTCTATATTATGCCACTGTCTCTTTGCAGTAGAGGGATACATTCTTAGGGCCAGTTTCTTAATTCAGTAATAATGACTTCAACTGCAACACTCTAACATAGAGGAATCCCTCCAAGAGAAGCTGAAGTGTTTTGCCTGGCCAATGTTGACTGATTCCAGAGAGTCTGATCATCCTACAAGCTTCTTTTAATCCTCACAGTTTCTGTATCCTCTCCCCGTGCAAGGGTCTGTAGATATTTGGCAAGTTACAAGCCAACATAGTCAGAATGGCAGGGGAGGGGTTGGCGTCACAAATGGGTGAATAGTGCAAACATTAGGTTTACACTGATATCCAGTTGAGGGTGCAAGTGACATCAGCCATGCTCATGTACGAGATGATAGGTGTAAATTACATACAACCCTTACTACACTCCCCTTTCCTGCACCTTAGCTCTACTCTTTGCTTCTTTGCTGAAACACTGACCAGCAGTTCGGTTCTCTTAGGCCTTCTTTAAAAGGTATTGCAGAGTGCACAACCCTGAATATAAGTGTTAGAAACAGCTTTTGGTCGATTATCAGGAGACAGTATCATACAACTGCTCAGTGAACATAGAGTTAATAACACAAACCATTGCAAACAGTATTTGGAGTACTTCTGAAATACTTTCTAAAACCATTAATTAGTAAACAGATTCCAAGAAGTTAGGTGCTGGATTTTGATATACCTGCATGACATGAAATTTTGATTTGTAATATTTGTATTACAATGAAAAGTCTTGGCATAACATTTACACATCTGTAGTTTAGTTCACAAATGTGAAGCTATTCTTTCTCCTATGATCTTCTTTCAGAGACGATTTCTCAGGATAGAGAAGTGATAGAGGGAAACAAAAATGATTAGAGGGCTGGGGCACATAACTTACGAGGAGTGGCTGAGGGAACTTGGGTTATTTAGTCTGCAGAAGAGAAGAGTGAGGGGGGATTTGATAGCAGCCTTCAACTACCTAAAAGGGGGGGTTCCAAAGAGGATGGAGCTCGGCTGTTCTCAGTGGTGGCAGATGACAGAACAAGGAGCAATGGTCCCAAGTTGCAGTGGGGGAGGTCTAGGTTGGATATTAGGAAACACTATCTCACTAGGAGATTGGTGAAGCACTGGAATGGGTTCCCAGGGAGATGGTGGAATATCCATCCTTAGAGGTTTTTAAAGCGCGGCTTGACAAACCCCTGGCTGGGATGATTTAGTTGGTGCTGGTCCTGATTTGAGCAGGTGATTGGAATGGATGACCTCCTGAGGGGTCTTACAACCCTGATATTCTATGATTGTATGACTTAAAATCTTTTGCCTCATCTTTCAGAGATGATTTCTCAGGTTAGAGAAGGAATTAAAATGTAGCCTCTGTCATCTGGATTTCTTCAGAACCTGAACAGATTGCAGCATCTCAGCCCTCAATCAGTCGCTGGTCAGCAAAGAAAAGTCTAGTAGCTCCTCTGTCCCTGGGTTAATAGCTGACTGGTTCTCCTCAGGTTCTGTTCTGTCAGTCTGTAGCCTGTATCCGGAGTGGTAACAGGCATTGGGGTCAGTATAGAAAATATTCATTCCCTGAGCTCTCACTCTCTTGTACATAGTAACCCCAGCACCTGTTATTCAGGCACGATGAGGGTTTGCAGGAAGTGGATTTCAAAGTCAAATGCATGAGTATTCATGGTAATGGAACCTCATTTCACACAGGAAAGTATATTGCTCTCTCTCTCTCTCTCTCTCTACATTTTTTTTTCTCTCTCTCTCTATGTCCTGTATTCATAAAATCCATAGCACCCGGGAATGGCATACTGTCAGACATGCAGCTGAGCTGCCATAATGAATGTGTATGTTAAACCCAGTTCTGGGGTGTTTGCTGTAGAGCTATATTGGGTTAACTATCGGGATGCTGACGTTATGGCTGTATTGGCTGAAACCATTGTGGCTCTTCTTAGTTTAACAGCAGGCTGCTGGAAAACAAGCAGGAAGGAAAGCAACAGCTCAGGAAAAGCCATCGCTCAGTAACCACTTCAGGGAGGTTGAGAGACAGCACCAGAGCTACTGAGAAGAGCCTATTCCCGGGCTCCAGTCACATCACACAGCTTGTTTTGCCAGATCAGGGAGTCTGTCCAGAGGTGGGTCAGCTGCTGTGAGAAGCTCTTCACACTGACAGGCACAGATACCTCTGGGGATGTCTGAGTGCCTCGGCCTGCCTGGGTCCCCATCAGAGTGGGAGGGCTTGGGGTCAGAGACGTGTACAGACTGTTGTTTGTAAAACCCTTTAATTCTCCCATGTTTCGCTTTTATTCCCACTGTTCAGATTAAAGAGTAGTTTGTTCGGGAAGGCTGGCTCGTGACTCATCACACCACTAGTCACAGACTCCCAAAGGGAAGAACCACAGGACGCTGTCTGAGGGTGGGAGGATCGAGAGATTCTACCCCATGGGAGGGAAGGTAACTTTCCCTGACATCTGACACTTGGAAACTAGGGAGGGGGGTGAGATACACTTAATCCTGTAACTCTTAGTGGTATCTACAGAGCAGAGATGCTAGAGCCCTCAGCCATTCAGGAAACAGAAATATCCCCTATCTGACCTGTTACCACAGAGCAACACAGCTCTGAATACCTACATTTATAATCGACCCAAATAATAAAACTTTTAAAAATGGATTTGCTGATTAAATTTCCAGCAGCAAATAAACCTGTGCCAATTTTTGAACTATTAACTGATATTCCTGAGGGTCTCCCTTCACTCAGTCCCTGTCAGGATCGTGCCCAGTGCACACTGCACCTCCAGAGATGGGACCCACTGAGAAAACCTCATTCAGGAAATTGCAGTTTTTTAACACTCCAAGCTCTCTTGGAATGTCAGATTTATGTGCAGTTTCAATAACCCCCTGAGGACCATGGGCAGGTGCAGTGGAGGGGTTCCCAAGCTCCCCAGTGCTACCAGCCCACCAGCCCTTCACTGAGTCACCCCGACAGCCCAGCTGAGTCCTCTGCCGCTGCACAGAACAACTGCAAATGGAAACAGCTCACAGCCTTTTCACATCACTTTGCATTTTAAAGATAATGAAACCTGCCAACGTACCCAATTCCTGCTAGAAGGGGAGCCGCTGACACCAGAGGTCTTCATCTTAAAGTACAAGGTGTCATCGAAGAGGTAGCACAGGAGGCAGGCAGTGTCTGTTCAGATAGGGAGGGAACTGTCTTTATGAAGCATGTTTGCACATTCCCCTGGGATCCATTCAGCCATCAGGGAATCTCAGCTGCTCGGCTTCGTGTGCACCAGCTTTAACCCCGTCACAGTCAATGGCAAACTGCAGGAGACAAAATCACAGGGGATGCACAGTGATGCTACCCAACGGGACTTCAGCACCAGCCCTCCTGCAGGTCTATTCCTGGAATCCGGGC